AATGCATAACAGTGGTGATCCAGGGATGAGCAAAACCGAGCTTCTCCATAATGGTCTTTAGATAACTCCACTCAACCCTATCGTAAGCCTTCATCATGTCGAGTTTCAATGAGGCATAACTATTATTCTTTGACCTGCTCTTCTTCATAAAATGCAGGCACTCGTAAGTTGATATAATATTATCTATGGTTAGCCTTCCTGGGACAAAAGTTGATTGCTCCTCATATATGATCTCGGGAAGAATCTGCTTCAGGCGATTTGCTAGAACCTTCGACGCAATCTTATAAAACACATTACATAAACTGATTGGTCGAAATAGAGTAAGGAGTGTAGGATTGGTCACCTTAGGAATCAGCACAATAATGATGTTGTTGATGCATGCTGCACTATCCTCTCCCCGCACAATCCCTAGCACCCCCTTTGTTACTGTATGGCCGCAAACATCCCAATGATGTTGGAAAAAAATGCGCTGGGAAACCGTCGGGCCCTGGGGCTTTTGTGGGAAACATTTGAAATAACGCCCTCTTGACTTCATCATCGCATACGGAGCCATGAGCATCACGTTCATCTCACTCTTGACTTTGGTCGGGACATGTTGAAGCACATCAGACACCCCCTGGACCCCTTCAGATGTATATAGAGTTTTGTAAAAAACCAGTGCTAGCGCCTGCATCTCGGTCAGATCCTCTGTCATCTGGCCATCGGGTCGTTGCAAAGCTTTTATTAGATTCCTTTTCCTCCGCATAGACGCCCTGATATGGAAGAACCGAGTATTCTTGTCCCCCTCCGATAGCCACTCCACCCTCGAACATTGGCGCCACATCAATTCTTCTCATAAATATAGCTTTATAAGCTTGTCATTAATCTTTATTTCGGCATGAGTAGGAGCCGTGCGCAAGGGGTCCCTTCGTAGATTGTCAAGCTCTCTTTTAAGCCTTTTTATTTCACCCCTCACACTTTCAAAAGTGGACGTGCTCCAATCACCCAGGTTTGAAGCTAAATCAGCCAACTACTTGCGAATTTCCACAATGGTAGGATTTTCGCTGTCTATATTCCATGCCGATCGCACGGCCCTTTTAATATATGCGTGCGTGTCCCACATCACTTCATACTGAAACTGCTTATCACGCCTCTGGTTGTCTGCTGGAACAAAGCCTCAAAAGGATGGGAGAGTGATTAGATGTGGCTGCTGTAAGATGCTCTAGCGCGGCCAATGGGAACTGGGCACACCATTCTGCCGAGCCAAGCGCCCTCGAGTAGAAGGGTGGTGCAGGTTGGCGGGCAACCTCCTTTTGCCATTTTGGGCCAACCCTAGCGCGGGCCGGGACGCCAACTGTATTTTTTTCTTTTATTCTGTTTCAGTTTTTTCTTCTTAAAATAATTTGAGATTTCAACGGAACTTCAAATATATCATTAAATTTTGAAAAACTGTTAAAAAATCCAAAATTCTTCGTGCACTGGAAAAATGTTCGTGATTTTGAAAATATGTTTACATATTCAGAAAAATGTCATGATTTTTGGATTTTCTTTTCCTGAAATAAAAGGTTCATGAATCTGAAAAAAAAATGTTCGCTTATTCGAAAAAACAATCATGAATTGAGAAACAATGTTCATGAAATTTTGAAATTGTAAACAAAAATAAAAAGTGTTCATGAATTACAACAAAAGTTCATCGATTCAGAACATGTTCACTGATTTTAAAAACATTCATGCATTTCAGAAAATTTTCATCAAAACAAAAAAAATGTTTCACAAATTTCATAAATTGTGACCAAATTTCAAAAAGATTGCCGATTCGAAAAATGTTCATGAGTTTTAAAAAATGTTCACGATCTAAAAAAAGATCGCAAATTTGTAAAATTTGTTCATGAGTTTCAAAAATGTCCACAAACTGCAAATATGTTCGCAAAAAATAAAAATAAGGAGAAAAGGAAAGAAAAGAAATAAAAAGGAAAAGGTAAAATAAAAAGGGAAAGGAAACGTAAAATAAAAATGAAAAGGAAAAATTAAAAAGAAAGAAAAAAGGAAGGAAAAAACGATGGGGAATAAACACTAAAATGGGCCGGCCCAAACTTCAAACACAAAAATGAATGGATAATATTTATATGATATGGATGCTTTAATTTATTTATTTTAGATTTCTATTTTATAAATTGCTACGGATGCATAAGTTTGAGAGGATATGTGTGAATACTATTGAAGATGAGAGGATATATTTTTTTTTAGAACGAAGGCTCAAGAAAGAGCCCGACTTTGAATTAACAAAGCCATCAACCGGCCAGGATTACAGGACTGCCACTAACAACAAGAAACAAAGAGCGGAAAAACAGATACAATGTGCTCAGTAGAACAACTCGAAATCGAACGCCGCTAAGCCGAAACCAGCTAACCTACTAAGGCTATGGGAGGAAGGCACCACCGTGCATGTATTGTGTCACTGATTGCCATCAAAAGGAAAACAGGGGCAACACATGACCTGACTCCGCCTCCGCAAAGGGCCCCTACCCTTTCACCCGGGCTCGGCGGGTGCCGCACCGGCGGCCTGCGGAGTGGTTCACCCTATAACCCAGATCAACATTCCCAAGCAACCGAAGGAGATGCACCAGGAACAAACCCACATGGGAACAGGGCGCCGAACACCCAGTCACCGTTGCCGGCAGCAGCAAGACAGAGCACCGGGCGAGAGTTGTCGAGACGAAGGCGCTGAAAACCCCGGAGAAGGCCAAGAGTATGCAGCACCACGCATCGGTCAAGGATAGGAGGCAACCCTCCACACCTGGACCCGAGCAAGTTGCCAAAGATGAGGATCAGGCCACTACAATCCGCCATCGAACCACCACCGACTCCACCACCACTTGAGCACTTCCCTGACGACGCCTTCAGGAAGGTTCACGCCACCAAGGTGCCGTCGTCGCCATGAAACGAGGAACTGAGGCTTTCACCTGAGCTGCTGGGTGGGGTGGGAGGTGCAGGAAGCCCACTGAAGCCTTCAGCAAGGGGAACGACGCCCAAAGGCGACATCTTCAGTGTGGTCGCGGCGCCGGCCAGGGGTTTCCCCCGGATCCGCACCCAACCACCAGATCCGCACACCCGGCATCCCGAACGGCGGCCGGAGCCACCTGGGACAGGGGGCGGCGCGGATCGGAGCAGATCGAGGAAGAGGACGCCAATTCTCCAAGGTACAGCCGGCCTACGAGGAGCTGCTGCAGCCGCCGACGCCCACCGCCTTCATGCCGCCCGCACGACCGGGAAGGCGGCCCACCTGCACCCTGCGGCGCCGCCCGCCGCACAGGCCACGCCACTGGCCGCCGCCCGGGGCCGCCGCCCCGGATGCCGAGGCTCTCCACTCAGAGTGGATCCGCCAAAGTCCCCGCCGCCACCTTCATGGGTGCCGAGCGGCCGCGTCGCTGGCCACCTCTGGCGGCGG